TTGGCGGGTGCCGTGTTCCTGCAGTCCAGCGGTCGGGGGCAGCTTCCCCCCCTGCGCTCGAGATCCCGGCTGCCCGGTGAGGGCAGGCACGCTGCGGCTCCCCCAGCTCCCCCCGGCTTGCTAAGCGCCCCCCGGGCAGTAGTGCCTAAAAACAACCGTAAGGTTTACGTGCTGACTGACACCAAGTACTGAAATAGAAACAAACTGAAGTCAACGACCAACCGGTTGCATGTTGCCCTTTCTCTTCAGCCCCGGAGATCTTCCATTCCTTCCTGAACGGCGGGACGGGCTACTCCTTCGAGGTGGATTGGTGGTCGCTGGGAATCATGGCGTACGAACTGCTGCGGGGCTGGGTAGGGCTCCCAGGCCGTCCCGGGCCTGAGAACGGGCTTTTCTCATTGACTGCGGAGAGGAGAGGGCGTTTCTTCTCATCTTTCTGCTTTTTTCCCCTAGAGACCATATGACATCCACTCCAACAACCCCGTGGAGTCGTTAATTCAGCTCTTCAGCACTGTGAGCGTTCAGTACTCGTCTGCGTGGTCGAAGGAGATGGTTGCTCTGTTACGAAAGGTGAGCAGTCCTGCCGGCGGGTTTACATCGCACGTTAGCTGTGGTGCGGGCGGGACTAGCTGGAAATTTGTCAGCGTGTTAATAACTAATGTGAGATTGAAATAGGACTCGTTTTTATGGCTTTGTTCAGGCTGAAGCACAGATTAATCTTGTGTTTTGTTTGTTTGTTATCCCTGTAATAAGATGCATTATTAAGGTTGGAAAAGACCTCTAAGATCATCAAGTCCAACCCTCATGTCTGATAGCACGGGAAGGAAAAAGGCTGGGTTTGGTGTGACGATCAAACTCCTGCCTGGGGTAGAACTGTGCCCTTCCAGCATCCCCCTCTGTGGTCATCGTAACCTAAAACGGCAGCGGTGGTGGCTGGGGGAGCGTGTGCTGCTGCCGGGGAGGCCTTAGCTGCTCCCTCTTGCCGGCCCGAAGGGTCTGATTCGGCGTGTTCAGTCGTGAGAGCTGCCGGGGGGTCTCGCACCGGTGGGGCGCCCTGTGCTGCCCTTGTACCGCCCCACGAGGAGGCTGTCGATCGGCGGGGGGGCTGCGCGGGAGCTTCTGCGCCCTCGAGAGCTCAGCAGAGGAGCTGAGGAGCGCGCTGTAAGAAAGATACGCACGGTACTGACAGCCCGTAAGTTACTGTTGGGTGGACAATTTACATAATTAGATTGTGTTTTAATGAGCAGCCGCGTTGTTAGCTGTGGCAGCC